GCTTGCCCTCCATAAAGAGGGTGGAAAGCCACTTGCCTGGGCTTGAAGAAGTACCCTTCCGGCCTTTGCCCCCACGAGTGGCACGTTCCGTAGGGGGGTCCTCAGCATGGGAGGAAGGCTCATGCTTGCCCTTGTTGCCTTTGCCGTTGCCTCGAAAGGGGGGGCGATTGCCCTTGCCGTCCTGACGATTCCTCCAGCCTCCAGGGTTCCTTAAGCTGGAAGAGGTGCTTAGGAATCTGGGCACGCGGCGCAAGCAGTGTACTGAGATCTGCTCTGACCTGAGTCACCTCATGAAGTGCGTCGTCGAGCTTCCAAGCGTGAATGTTAACGAGTTCGCCGATAAGCTCCCATGCACGTTTATCGGCTGCCTGAGCCTCCAAGGAAGTGGGCCCTCGAAGGTTGGAAGCGGACTCATACTTCATGAAACAAAGCTTCAGAAACTTCTTCTGGTAGAGTTTGAGAGAGCCCAGGTGTGCACCCCGACATAGAGCAATGCTGTTGGTAGCCAAAGTGAGCAGCTGATTGATCAGGTTGAATGATGCTGGTCCATCATGAATATCTCGGGTAGGGGCCTCATCCAGAAGCAAATCGCTGAGCTCAGTAAGGCGCGGGAGCTTCTTAGGGCGGATAAGCAGGCTATCATCCTGTGCTTTGGCACTCAAGCGGAACTTCCAAGGCAGCCAGCGTATTTCCTTGTCGGCCACCATTTTTGATGTTAGGGCAAGCAAGCGGGAGCTGGGGAAACTCTCACTGTCAAGAAGCTCCGTAGGATAATCATCCTCAAAGCGTTTGCGAAGTTCAGCTGTGCGTTCAGCGCTGAGCTTTGCCGGCCAAGACTCCTGCCAAGAAGAGCCAGCGTTGGGAGCTGGGGGAGCCGAAGGTGGCGAGGCACTCCCTGTTGGCTGCTGGACCCCTTTGACTTCATCAAGTGGGGGCAAGCCGCAAGACTCTCTGCAGCGGCTGAAAAGCAGACGAACTGAAGCCCTGGCCATGATCTGGTCGCCTGGAGCCGACGTGTCAGAGGCCTCCATGAGGTGGCTGATGAGGGAGGCCAGCTCGTCTTGGTCGTTGCATGACCTCGCGAAAAGCGGGGTATCATATGAGGCCAGGGCTTCCCGGATGTTGTCGGGGATGCTCGACTCGGTCATCAAAGCGAAGAACTCGGCGGCCATAGATACCTGACCAGACAAGCTGAAGGAATACACGACGCTAAGAATTGCCCATCCTGCCTTGAGATGAGAGGCACCTGACGGTGGGCAAAGTGTGGGGATGGGGGGCACCATGAAAGCGGGATCCGAAGTGAGCCTGGGGTGGCTGTCAGAGTAGGGAAGGAGGCCCGCCCCGGCCGAACAAAAGCGTTGCTCGAGCCGAGGAAAAGCGGGAGCCAACCTCAAAGCTTTGCGCCACATTGCGCATCAATTGTGGAAGCAAGGGCTCAAGCACGATAAGCGGGCTTCTTTTTCTCTTGAAGCGGGGAAGCGGTCCCGAGATCCTGTAGCGCTGGCACAAAAGTGAGCGGTGCCGTGCGCAATTCCGGCTGTCT